CAACATCGCGCTGCATATGCCATGACTACTCCTCCTCGAGCGTTCATCCCTCTTGCCATCTCGACGGACGGTACCCTGCATCGTGACACCCTCCGCTTCATCTGGTATCTCGCGGACATCATTGCTCAGCGCTCAATGCCGCGTTTGGTCGGCACTTCGTGCCTGATGACGGACCTGCTGCTGAGGTCTTGGCTCGCAAACGCGCCGCCACCTATCAGCGCCTCACCATGCAGCTGACGCTGGAAGCGCTCTTGTCTGGTGCGAGGCGCATGACGCCCTTGCGGGCGCAAGCACTTCTCGAGCCAGAGGACAGACTTTGTCGAGTCGCCCGAGGAGTCTTCGCCGGAGGTCTCCGACTCCGATGGGGGACACCCTTCGAGTGGCCCCGACGATCGGCGCGGAGCTGGCGAGGCGTCTCCGTCCCTCACTGTGACGTCGGGTGCCTCCGGAGAGCTCGACACCACTGGGGTGCTTGCTGCTGGTCCGAGCTCGCCTGCTTCCTCCCCGGCATCGGTCGGGTCACGCCGGTCCTTGGGCATTGCCGCGGCGTCGCCGCCGTCACGGGCGGCTACCACTGACTCGGCTACCGCTGACTCGGAGGCTAGCGAGGAGGACTACCTCGAGCGGTACCGTGTTCCTGTGTCCAGCCTCCCTCCGTCCGCTGCCCCAGGCGGGCACCCGGGCAACGCCGGCTCCTTGTCGGCGGCTGCCCTTTCTCCGTCCGCGGCCGCCCGCTTTGTGGCGGCAGCGGACGTCTCGACTGACAGTGGTCAGTCGGCTGCCTCCGGGTATCGCGTCTTGCCTACAGGATTTACTGGCGTCTAAGGGATTTTATTCCTCCTGCCTGCCCCTTAGGCTGCTTGTCTGCGCGGCTTCGCGCTTGGGCTGGCGATGCCGCGTCTGGGTGCCAGCAGTGCTGGTTCTTTTCGGGCTTGTGTTTTGTGTGTGATTGTGCAGCTTCTCGCTGTGGACTGTGTGCCAGGAGGTTTAGCTTGTTCCTGCTTTGTTTTGCTTGAGGCACTTTTTACCTTCTGCCAGTAAATCCTATGTTTTGCCAGTAAATCCACTATGCCGGTCACATTTCGCTGCGCAGGCGGAGGAATGAAGTGCTCATGAGACGAGTCGACGAGAGCGCGCAAACCAGGGATGTGTACCACAGATGCCGGGGGGCGTCCTGCGTCATCAGGCACAGCAGCCGGGGCAGGTGGGATCGCCGCGCCATCTGCAGCCGGTGCAGGAGCCCGGAGGCTCACACGACGGTAGAGGATCGCTCCAGCATTATGAACGAAGTCGTGCGCCTCAACGAAGAAGGTCGCCAGAGGATGCTTCTGGGCACGAAGAGATCTCGAGCAGTGAACGTCCAGGCTATGAGGAGAGGGCAGGGTCCGTGACATGGGCTGGTCAGAGTACCAAGCGAGGAAGCGAGCGATAGCCGTATAGTAAACAGCGGGGGTGTAGACCCTCAGAGGGGCGTGAACTCGTCCCCTCCCCGACTATGCGGAAGCTCCCGCTTGGACCGCGCAAACTCTAGCAGGTCAGGATGCGCGGCGAGGTACTGCGAGGAAGGCCAGCGGTGGTATTTCTCAAGCGCCAAGTGGACAGAGAGGTCAAAGCGACGAATCTGTGATTGGACCCGCGGGAGAAACGGAGAAGACCCCTGGAGGAAGAAGCGCAGCTTCTGGAGATGGCTCGCCCTCACCAGCCGCGTCTTGAACATGAAGCCATGCTGGAGGCATAGGATTTACTGGCAGAAGGTAAAAAGTGCCTCAAGCAAAATAAAGCAGGATCAAGCTAAACCGGCAGGCACACAGTCCACAGCGAGAAGCTGCACAAACACACACAAAACACAAGCCCGAAAAGAACCAGC